GTGGCTGGCGCCTTAGGTCCTTGAGCCACAGGCACCAAGCTGATCTGGACTTTTTGAAATGAAATAAGACTGCGTGGCTGAGCCTCTGTAGTCGTGTTTTGGCTATTTCAGCTAACTGACCAAAGAAGTCACAGTCCCTGTGCACGGCGATACATAGCAGGTCTACCAGATGTCCCAGGGTGTGTATCCTAACAGAAACAGCACTGTCAGGATCAGCTGTGATTTATAAAAATTTATGATCACCCCCTTAAATATAAGCTTGCCTTCTGAGTTCATTCCAATAGTAAAAAAGTCAGCTAATAAGAAACTCATGCTCAATTGTCTGAAGACTGATTAATCTGGCTCCAACATTTTTCTGAATAGTCCATATTATTAATCGTTTCTTTATTGTCATGTTATTTATTAACCTGGTCAAGTTACTGTTACATCCTCACAGGGATACTAACAGATTGCACTTCTGGAAAGCAGTACAGGAATAATAAGAGTCAGCCTTTCTTGTGTCCTTGCTACATTCACAAAAATATGCATGTTTTAGACTTTGTCATTGTTTCTACCAATAAACTAATTACCACTGTTTGGAGCTGATTTACTTCAGAAGGAGTTTAGAAAAACAGCTAATTAAATACAGTATGTTGAAATATAAACTGCATTATAGGGTTAGAACCCTGTAATAAAAATCACAGAAGTTTGCAAGTTGTGAGAAACCACGGAGGCTTTCTCTAGCTAACCTCCTACACAAAGCAGCCGTCCCCTCCATCTCAGCCCTGGCAAGGCCAGCCTCCACAGGACCACTTCTGGTGGTAGGCAGCTCACTCTCTCAAAAGACTTCCTTTTCCATTTTTAAAGAGCTCAGCTCTGGCTGAACAGCATTCTTCCTTATATTTATGGATCCCAAATAGATTTTCTTGTACCTTTCCAGCACATCACAAGCTTGTAGTAAGCACTCAATTAGCGCTGAGCTTCACTGAATTCCTTCTATTGGTCTTCCATATATTGCAACTTGTGGCTTCACGAATTTTTCTTAGCACTTTGTCAGAGAGAAGCCTTTGTTCAGGTGAGAATACTGTACAAAGAAATGAAGCCAGTCTCTTAAAAGGACATGGGCATGGGAATGAGAGAAACCCCAACTTCTTCTAAGTGGTAGTTGATTTTCTGGAAGAAGAGAGCTTTAAAAAGAAGTTGGAGCTGGCCACAGACAGAAAATGCCCACTAAAAGAAAGGAGTCAGGAAAGTCCTGGAAAGAAAGCCACCTCCCTACTGCGGCTCAAGGAAGAAGCAGGACAGTGGGAGACAGAAAGTGGAAGCCCAAGATCGTGGGGGAGGGGTGCTACAGGGGGTACAGGAAGGGGTCCTGATTGGAATTACATGTCTAAGGACCAGCCCGATCCACCAGTTAAGTACCAAGAGCCACTCTTTCCAGGGATCATTCTCAGTGTTTTTCTAAAGCTCCTACTCACCTGTGATGCTTATTATAATTCTATATACTTGGCACAGACAGTTACAATTTTATGAATTTAGTATTGCTTTCTGTCACTCTCTAGACAACAATATGAGGTTTATTACAACATAAAGGGAAATTCATCTTCTTGGACCTGAGTGAGTGTCAGCCCAGATCCCCATGCTGTCATCCCTGTCATCATCCTTTGAAAAATGCAACCACAAGTTAGGTTTGTAGTCATTGGGGAAACGTTCCCAATTCCAGGTCCTGAGGTCAGGCCCCAAGATAGTAA